TTTACATTGACCCCTTTTACACCGTCGGTTAGTACGCGTATCAAATTGATGCGGATTAAATATGTGATATGTTTTTATTTACACCGATCTGTCTCAAAACAGGTGACATGATGTCTTCACTGTTTTTCAAGATATAAAACCTCTAATTCTAATTTTAACCTAAACTTAAAAGCAGTGGCGAATTTTAATATATGATCCAAAACGAATCAAGCGTTTCCAGCACGCTGAGATTCTTTGATTACGATTACACCACGTGCGCTTAGTCTGCGATCTATACACGATAGGCATCTTTATTTAAGCTATAGGCCTAGTTTACATCGTATACTTGATACTAACTTATAGCTCTCTATTAAATTATTTTAATTTCAGCGATGTATTCAAAGAATGATGTACTAAATTGATACAATGCATCAAAATAATGAATTACTAAGTAAATACACATATCCAGGGTCGGCGAAGTAAATTTTTTCTATGTATGGAGTTTCATTTGTTCTTTCATGTATATTCTTTAGATAGAAAAGGATTTATGACATATCAGTATTTAATCAGTTTCTATTCAGAGAAAAATTTCGACTACATACTGTATTTTCATTTTTATCGTCTTTTGGGTCGCCGAATAACATATCTGTCCATCGCAAAATCATGTTACAGTGATTATATAATTCAGAAAAAAGTCTGAACTCTGAAGACTCGAGAATACTAGATTCTGCAACTTAGGGTCTGAGCACAGAATTGCCATAACAAAAGATATTTCTTTCAGGACAATTAACAAGATTCGAATCAAGTCACGCGAGAAAAAGCAAAGCTTTCATTGGATAATCGCTCGTCGCGCATCGCTCATCGCGTCCAGTGTGAATTAGGCATAATGCCGGCTGCACACCAGCGCGATATTCATCGCGCGCGATACGCGATACCCAATGAGCATATAGTTTTAGAATGAGAACATTGGTAAAGCTGTACGCTCATTGGATATCGCGTGTCGCGCGCGACAAACATCGCGCTAGTGTGTAGCCAACATAACATTTCGTCCTTAATTGTTTGGGCAGTCATATTAGAATATATGTGCATGAACCTTGATGTGCGTGTATGTATGTGCACGCGCGTGTTCAGTTATGTTGAGTTAAGTACGTGTAGCTTGCGCAATCCAATGTTTCATCACTGAACTATCAGGATACTACGCCTAAAATTGGGATTGCATTTATGCATGCACTATGAATGAAGCCTTCCATTCTTGTTCTCACTATTACTTCTGATGGGGTATGGAAATCCATACCTCGTCCATGTATGGAATTCCATAGCTTAGAAATTTGTATATATAGAGTGCTCCAGATCGACCCTACTAAAGTCGCCGGCCCTGCACATATCATGTATATGTTTACATATGTTATCGAAATTAATTCAATAGAAAATTACTAGTTAGTACCCGTATTAAATGCACGATGTAAACTAAGCCATAGATTAAACAAAGACGCCTATCATATGGACCACAGACTAAGCGCAAGGTGTAAATTAGGCTTATGATACCACATGATACCATTTGATACGCGTATCAGCTTGATTTGATACTCGTGATTCGGAATTCGTGATCAGATCCAAATATTCCGCCAGCGTTTATACCAAGCGTATTAAGTGATTTGGTACGGATATGGTAATCAAATCTCAATACGCATATCAAGTTCTCGGTGTAAACTAGGTTATACTAATCTCATTATTCCTCTCAATACACAACTAGAATAGCGGTTATAATGTTTCAAAGCTATTATTCCTCTTGTGCTTTCGGAAAGCTTACATAATTCATATCAGATTTTTTAGCTGGTTTTTTCCCTTTTAATAATACAATAGAACTTTGACGCGCTCCATTAACTTATTGGGATTTGCTGATTCTTGATTGCTGACAAAAAACTTTTCTTTTAGGTATCTACGTGCTCTTTTTTATCTTGGAAAAAAATAAGTTTGCCGGGTGCAGCACATGGAAGTGGGGACTTGGGAAGAGGGTGCCCAGTGAGAAGTGACAATGGGATCGATGTCGAATCGACGTCAATCGACGTCAATTTGGTGATTTCGACGTTGTCATTTCTCAGTGGGTGTTTGATGGAAAATATTATTTATATAATTTTATTTTCTCTCTCTCTCTCTCCACTTCTTGGAGAAAATAAAATTAGAGCATAAACCGAATGTTAGCGTTCACGCTTCAATATACTACATCTTTATAACATATAATTGTTGTTTCCGCGACATAAAAAAAAAAAAATAATTACAGAATTCTTAAGAACTGTAGCTGATTTAAGTTCGGACAAAATATTGTAAAAAAAAAGAGAGCTATTCTCCTAATGTCCATTTCTACCAATGTGTGTGTGTAGATTAACTTATCTTTAAAAAATCTCGTTACTTTAATGTCAAATTGAAAATGGAAATTTATCGCATTTATCCCTTCGATATACGAAGATTATATTTGTTTTAACTGTATCGATAATATGCAGAAACGAAGAATTAGGAACTGCGTTCGAGAAGCAGCATGCTGTTAGCCTATTGCGGTACTCTATCCTTGTTTTACACTCTAATGAATAATAAAAAGAGAATAACATAGAATAGCACTGATTCTATATATCGTCCTGATAGGGTGCTTTCTCGTCTTTCCCTGCAGTCTTTCCCAACAGCCGACGGCCCGACGCTACAATGTGGACAAATGACAATTTATACTGTTCAACGAGCTGTTCAAAAATCGCTACAGACCGTAATTCTTAACCGATCAAAACGATTTTTTTTTTAAATTAATTGTTAAATAAATTTCAAAGAAAACTGGAGTTGGATTTTTAAGGAAAGCCGCCTAATATGTGCAATATTAATAATAACAATCTGAAAATTATTTTTGATAAAGAGTTGAATTATTTGAATTGATATGCTTTAATTGCACTAAACTATTTATAATATTTCAATACGGGTTATTATATATAATAACCATATTATAAAGCGTTACCTTTGCATGTTTAGCGAAAGATAAAAAAAAAACAAAACAAACGATTATAACAAATTTTTTAAATAAATAAATAAATGAATATATTATAAATAAATACATCTGAACAAAAGTTTAAAAACACAAGGTGGTTTAATTCCCTATATTTAAAAAAAAAATTGATGATATTACAATCAGGGAATATAGGCTCTGAAATTCGTGCACTAATATTCGAACATATTTTCTTAAACTAAGATTAACAATTTTTAGTTCATCTAAGCAATTTCATATGTTTCATTAGTCTTTTAATTTTCTTCAACGATGACAATAATTCCGAAATTAATGATGGTGATCTCAGACAGCACAGAATATTTATGATAAATATTTATTAATATTCATTTTTTGAAATGTCATACAGATATTTCGTACATATTTTATATAAAGTTTTATTCGAAATATTATTAAAATATAGACTAAATATTTTTTATGCAATATTTATGATAAATATAAATAAATATTTCTATATACTATAACTATAATAAATCATAATAAATATTTCATAATATTTATAATAAATGTT